CCAGGTGATCATGCCTGCTCCACACACCAGGTGATCTCCTGCTTGGAGCAATGCTGGACCTCATCAGCATTTGGGGAGAGGCGGCTGTCCAGTCCCAGCTGCACTCCAGCTGTAGGACAGATTTCACGATGCATGACAGAAAGGAGCCATGACGGGACACTCTGCAATGCAGAGTCAAAGTGTTCTAGAGCATGTCCGCTTGGCGCTCCGTAACGTTTAAGAGCTGCTTCGTGGCTTCGTTCTGGAGCTCCATGTTCTCCTTTCAGTCCCTCTTCTCGCTGTCCCTCCACTCCTTCAATTCTTGTTTTTCGGCCGTGGAGTGCATCATGACCTCACGCAGAAAGTCCTCTTCAGTTCTTCGTGGCCACTTTCTAATTCTGCGCAGCCGTTCAGCCGGCGATAACAAAGAGGGAGGCTGGGCTCCCAAGGTCATACCTGTGAAGCCAAAATGCAACATTTTACAGAAGCAGTATTGTTTGCAACACACAGACCCACTGATTTAAAACACAGCCGCTATTCACATACCTGTCACTAACTAGCTGACCCTAGGCAAGCACACATGAGCCACAAGACCCCCCAAATGGTGAGTAACTGTAGGGGCAAGGGAAATCAGTGTTCAGGAACCGTACTGTACACTGGGGATGTGGCTCTTGGCGAGAGCCAGCACCGGGGGGGCTTATAATCATTCTTGTCCCCACATTTTCCACAGGCTGTGTTCATTATGGAAGATATCTCGCTGCTGAGGGTTAGCAGGGAATCAAGGGAGGGTCTTCTCCAAGACTGCGGCTTCCGCCATGGCTCTTATGCGGCTCGCCTGTGTGCAGCAATGGTCCCCCCTCCCCCCCTCAGGACGGCAGAGTGGCACAGGAAAGTTACCCTTAATGGGGCAAGAAACAAAGCAGCTCTGCCAAAGAACCTGCGGCAGCGGATTGCCCGGTATCTCCATGAGAGTTTCCTGGAGATCTCTGAGGCAGATTCCCGTGAAGTGAGGGAGTCAATCAACACCCTGTTCTGCCGTTCAGACTAGGCATGTGGTGGTACGCGCATCATACAGACACAAGCCTGCTTTCTGCCACCCTCCTGCCCCCAACAACTCGCTTCAGCTATTTCCAAAATCAAAGCCACTTACCAGGGGCCTCTTCTCCTGTTTGCACTTTGCCAAGCTCCGACAGCTGTGACTGGCTATCCTCCTTTAGGGTAGAGAAGAGCTCCTGGCTGCATGCATCTCTGACCTCCAAGTCGTCCTCTGCCTCTGGGTCCCCCTCCCCGTCCACATCCTCGTCCAAGATTTCCTCCTCCTGGCTCGGTCCACTCTTGGCTGGCACGCGAGCCACCGAAATATCCACAGTGGCCTTCGCAGTGGAGGTGGGGTCGCCATCGAATATCGCATCCAGTTCTTTGTAGAACCGGCAGCTCGTGGGCGCAGCACCGGAGCGGCAGTTTGCCTCCTGTGCCTTGTCAGGCGTGAACATGCTATTACACAGGTAGCTGACAGTGTGAACACACAACAGCGGTTCCCCTTCAGTGCTCTCTGAGCGGCGCTGTAACTGCCGGCACTGTAACTCTGCCAGTGTAGACATACCCTTAGTCCTGCAACACTGTCTCAGATTTTACTCAGGTTTTGCTCCATTGCTATCAGCCCATATGATGTCTTAACTGAGGTTCTTAAATATTTTCAAACGCTAATGAATTAAGTCTCACAGCACCTCTGTGACAAAAACAAGTAATATCTCTGTTTTACAAATGAGGAAACTGAAAAGGAGACATTAAATGTCTCGCCTGAAGCCAGACACAGAGCTGTGATTAGAGATCTCCTAACTCTGACTCCCAATCTTGTGCATTACTTATAAAACCACCTAAAGAAAATAACAGTCCATCAGGTGTTACTACTCATGGTTTGCAATGATAACATTATACTTACACACACACACACACACAGCCATATACACTGTTAGAATCACACATTCCCTTGATCCTGCAAAGACTTAGGCATATGCTTAACTTCACCTTGGAAAAGTCACACCTTAAACTAGGATAGATAGAAATCAGGAATAATCAGCTAATGATTTCATTAACCTTTTCTTTTCAAAACATTTTAAAAATATTGCACTCAAAATTTACACTAAGCATTTGAAATTCTAATACAGCTGTACGAGGTCCAGATTAGAGTTAAAATTAACTTCTGTTCTTTTAGTACACAAAAGTCAATTTCATTTCAAATCACATTTGTTTGCCTGTGTTTTAATATTTTATAATATATTCCCACATACAAAAAGTAATTGAGAGAATTAACTTCAAATTACTTGATGTGGAAGTGTATAGCCTATCTGTAAAGTGTTTTGTACTTATATGAAATACTGTAAAATAGACATTTAAAAAAATACTATATGCTAAAAATAAGCTTCATGAATTAGTCCATGCTGACCTGAAATTTTTCTGGCACTCCAAATTCAAGCATTTGAATATGCTCTGTTGGTGGTACCTCCTCCTTATTCTTTGAAACTGCAGATGTCAAGTCATTTAAAATGTGTCGAACCCAATTTGTTCCTGAAACATAAAGTAACTGTTAGAAGGAGCCAAGTAGGAATTTCAGAACTGTAGCCTGTTAAATATCTAGCATAACTTTCTAAAGAGTCATTATACTAGTCCTCCATATAACTTGTAGGTGTTCCATATAACGTGTAATAGTACATAATTTTCAGACAGAAGTATGATTTTTACATTGAGAGGGTCTCTTTAATGCAACATTGGGGGTGAGAATGAATGAAATCCTGTACTTTGGCAATTATAAGTTAAGTTATATATCCCCTGAACTACTGTACTTTATTTATATTGCCTATGTGCCTATAATGGCAACCCTTGTAAGCACTTTAAGGCTGCTGCTTCTGCTATGTACACTGTAAGGATATGGCACCCATAGCCTGGGTCAACTGAATCTCACAGCCTAGGTCAACTGAGTCAGGCTCATGGAGCTAAAAATAGTAAAGTAGACGTCTGGGTTCAGGGGAGCCTGAGCTCTGAAACCCCACAATGAGCCTGGGCTCCAGCCCAAGAACAAACGTCTATACTACCATAGGCGCCCACTCCGTGGGTGCTCCAGCACTGGAGCATCCATGGGGAAAAATTAGTGGGTGCTCTGCACCCACCCGCAGCCAAGCTCCCCTCTCACCCCCCGCCCCACCTCCTCCTCCCCTGAGTACGCCATGTCCCCGCTCCTCCGCCTACCTACCAGTGTTTCCCGCCCAGCCACCGCCAAACAGCTGTGGTGCTGTTCTGCACGTTCTGCCAGGAACATGGCACACTCAGGGGAGGAGGCGGGTAAGAAGCAGGGCCGGGGCAGGGATTTGGGGAAGGGGTTGGAATGAGTGCAGGGGAAGGGGCAGAGTTGGGGCGGGGCCAGAGGTAGACGGGGGGTCGAGCATCCTCCGGAAAGAGGGGAAGTCGGCACCTATGTACACTGCTATTTTTAGCTCCGTGTCCCAAGTCCTGCAAGCCTGAATCAATTTACTTGGGCTCTGAGACTTGGTGCAGTGGGTCTTTTATTGCAGTGTAGATGTACCAATTGTGGCTCAGACCCTGTTGCTACACAGAATTCTCCTTCATGGGGAAGGAGGAGGGCATCTTCGTTGCAAGACTGAAGAACAGAGAAGTGAAGATAACTGATTAAGAGGTTTCCCTGCAACATCCTCAAACTGCCACCTGCTCTTTCTCTATTGCCCCAGTCAGCTCAGCTACTACACATATGCTTCCTTTTGGTTTGGCAGGGAAGAGTAGAGCATGAGCTGTGCTCAGGAGTAGCTATCTGTGGCAAAAAAGAGTATTACTGGGAGAGGAAGAGCTTTGTCCAACGATCACACGATCCCTGCAAGGGTACTATCATGAGTGGTGGGAGATCCCAGTTCAAGTCCCTTCTTCTCATCAGGAAGAGGAGGAAATTCATCTGGGAATCTCTCACATCCCGGGTGAGTATCCTAAAGACTAGGCTAAAGGTTCATAGATTCCAAGGCCAGAAGGGACCATTGTGATCATCTAGTCTGATCTCCTGTATAACACAGGCCATAAACATCCCCCAGATAATTCCTAGAACATATCTTTTAGAAAAACATAATCTGTCCCCCTCCTCCCCCCCCAAAGTCATTTTGTGCAGTGTTAGTCTGCCTCTGAGTACACCTACTGGATCAGACCCTACAGATGAGATAGCTGGGACAGTGCCTATCTGCCTCTGGCTTGAAGATTGTGATGGGGCTTAGGTGTGAGGTAGGCATCTGGGTGCCTCCTTCAGTGTATTTGCCCAGAGGAAGAAACACAGGTGTCTAGGAAAAAGCAACAGAGGGTCCTGTGGCACCTTTAAGACTAACAGAAGTATTGGGAGCATAAGCTTTCGTGGGTAAGAACCTCACTCTAGGAGACTTTTACAGCAAAAATTTAGGTGGTGAGTAAATTTAGTTGTCTACAGGATAGGCAGCAGCTGAACTGGGGATTTGTAAATTGGAGTGGTGCCTAAAACTAGGACTTTGGTGCCTAAGTCTGGAGTTTGTGCATCTACATTCCTTTGTGGATCTGGGCCAAACAGACACCAACCTGTTACCAAGTGTTCTGAAAAAATCATCAGCCTTGGGCTGAGAACAACTTCGATTATAAGGGTATTGAATGGCATGTATCCCCCAAAAGTGGTGCTATTGCACCCTTAACCTAATGGTGCATGAGGGGGGAGATTCTGCCAAGCAGGACCACAAGTTGGAACATGAGGGTTAAATCCCATCATGGGTTTTGGTACCCCAGCTGGGAGTCTCCCCCACAGCCAAGGCAATCAGGAGCCTAATTAAGCTCAGACTCATAAAAAAGAAGAGGGCTGATTTATTTTCACAAGAAGGGGAGACAGGGTTTTGCTAACAAACACCAGGACAGTGGGCTCTGGAGGTATCAGAGAGGCCTTTCCTGTTTCTTTACAGTTTATTGTTAAGCTACATTAAGAGAATGTGGCCATGGATATTCCTGATTTGTGTTATTTTGGCTGAATAAGAACCCTATAAATAAACTGGAACTCTCTCAATTGATTTTACCTGGATCTCCTATGAACTGTCTCTGCAATTACTCAGCCTATGGCTCTGCCGGAAAAAACTTTCAGCTCCAAGAATAGTTTATTTAGTAAATGGAGTTATAATTTAAGTGCTTTCTCATTCCTGCCTACATACTGCAAGGCCAACAGTATAATTTATTTTTGTATAGATACTCTGGTTATATTTCCTATATAACTTGAGTGGAGATCACCTATTAGCCAATCAAGATTCTTTTTCAGTTTGCTTAGAAGAATCTTCCTTTTCTCCCGCATCAAGTAAACTCCTTTCTTCCTTCAGAGCCCTCTTCAAAATATATCTCCTATAATGTCTTTCCTTGTAGGATCCTATTCCCATCTCAAGTTCATACCATCTCTTACAGTGGGATTTTCAAAAGTGCTTAGCATTGGCCTATCTTTACACCCATTGACTTCAATGGGAGCAGAATTAGGCTAGCGCTGATTGCTTCTGAAAATCCCATCCTTCGTGACCTGTGTGTGAACTGTCTTGTCTGTTCTAAACTAGTGGTGGGGACCGTGCCTCTTTATACCTGTGAACAGCTCCAAGCCTGCCATTAGTGTGTTATTAACAAAGTTTTGGGGCAGTTCAGATTCTGTTCTGGCTCTGAATTCTCTTCATCTTCACCATATATATGAAGGTATAATTCGGTATATATGCACAAAAAAGATGAATTACAGCAGCTATAGGAATCAAAGAGCTTAAAATATCCTGACACTTGTGTATTTAAGCTCTCCATAATCTTGCATGATTCTTTGTATTTAATTTACTACAGCCAGAAGCATGCCTGTCATGGCTAGATTAAACACACATCTGAAATTATAGAAGAGGAAAACACACGGCTCACTAGCACAGTGCTTCCCTGTGACAAATGAGGATTTACTGCATGTAGCATTTGAATTTCAGTGCTTTTCTGCATTCTTAGAAAATAATCACACATATTTAACATCTAAGCACTTTTTCTTTCAATTTTGCACCAAAAAAATCCAGACTTACCGCATTTAGGATAAGCAACTAGGAACACATCATCTTTTCTAACTTCCATGATGTCCAATGCTTGGAAGGTCTCAGGGGAACACATCCCACTAGGGTATAGCACCCCCTTGTACATGACCAGCAGCTCCTCAGGTTTTTTCCCTTTAGCTGCATCAAGAGTTTTGTCTATTCCCCTAACAAAGCTGTCCATAGCCATGGTTGAAGTTTGCTTTGCCTTTTGCCAGACTCTGCCCTTAAACAATGTCTCTAGGAGGAGGCTGATGAGGAACTTTGAAATATGAACTCACTGGCTTATCTGTTGCCTCACTCTGCCTCTCTCTTGCCCAATGAGGGAAATCACAACTAAGAGAAGTCTTGAATTACAAGCTCTGGGTGCGTGTGAACTCTTGGTCATGAACTGTTACTGATTTCAGCCAGTGTTGAGGATTACACTTAACTTCCGCTTTTCTTTGGCATGAATAGTAATGGGAGGAGTAAGTAAACAGAAACTGCTACTGGGATAAGGGGGAGAAACAAATTGTGCTTGTTCAGCCCCTCAGCCTCCATGTGGAATGATAACACTCTTTCACCTACCTAACCCCCTGCTGTTAAGTTTCCACCTAAGGTAAAGTGATCTCTTAAGCAACCTGGGAATTGCTGATGTAGAATCATGCTGCTGTTTGCGTGAGAACTAGAAGTTGTAAAACTGGATGAATCATCACAATAATAGGAAAGAGAGAGGACTAAAGGGAGATGGGTTAATTGCTTCTCAGGCTTTCAGGATTACAGTGGTTTTACAACAGAGAGATTGGGATCGCTTCATAGTAAAGATTGTGCCTAACTTTTTCCTATAAGCCTAATACTGATAGCCAAGGCCTTGGCTACACTTGCAGATGTACAGCGCTGTGAGTTAAACCTAACTTCGTGCAGCTGAGTAGGGAAAGCGGTGCAGTCTGTCCACACTGACAGCTGCCCAGCGCTCTGTCGTGGCCACATTTGCAGCAATTGCAGCACTATTGGGAGCAGTACATTATGGGCAGCTATCCCACAGAGCACTTTTCCCATTCTGGCGCCGTAGGTTGTGGGAAGGGGGCATAGGTGCGGGGCATTCTGGGTCCTGTCCCAATGCCCCGTGATGCATCGCTTCGCATCCCAGAAATCCCTTTTTTTCCGTCCACCTTTGGAGCCATCTTTCAACGGTTTCTGTGCAGCGCGATCTGTCTGCGGGAAATGGAGTCCGAACTGCTGAGGCGTATGCTGACGAGTCTTGCCAGCACGTCACGTTTGGCTGTCGAACTATTCCTTAAGATCCAAAGTGACAGTAAGAGTGAGGGTGAGGAGTCCGACGATGCTATCGAGCCGCGTAATGCGTATGACATGAAATTGCTTTTGGCATTCACGGACATGCTCAGCACCGTGGAACGCCGCTTTTGGGCTCGGGAAACAAGCACCGAGTGGTGGGATCACATCGTCATGGAAGTCTGGGATGACGAGCAGTGGCTGCAGAACTTTCGGATGAGAAAAGCCACTTTCATGGGACTGTGTGAGGAGCTTGCCCCCACCCTGTGGCGCAAGGACACGAGATTGAGAGCTGCCCTGCCAGTGGAGAAGCGGGTGGCTATTGCAATCTGGAAGCTGGCAACTCCAGACAGCTACCGGTAGGTCGCAAACCAGTTTGGAGTGGGAAAGTCGACCGTTGGAATCGTGTTGATGCAAGTTTGCAAGGCCATTAATCGCATCCTACTCAGAAGAACCGTGACTCTGGGTAACGTGCAGGAAATAGTGGATGGCTTTGCACAAATGGGGTTCCCTAACTGTGGAGGGGTGATAGATGGGACGCACATTCCTATTCTGGCACCACCCCACTTAGGATCCAAATACGTTAATCGGAAAGGGTATTTCTCTATGGTTCTCCAGGCGCTTGTGGATCACCGTGGGCGTTTCATTGACATTAACACAGGCTGGCCTGGAAAGGTGCATGACGCACGCATCTTTCGGAACACTTGGCTGTTCAGGAAGATGCAGGCCGGGACTTTTTTCCCAGAGCGGAAGATCACGGTAGGGGAAGTTGAAATGCTCATTGTGATCCTTGGAGATCCCGCTTACCCGTTAATGCCGTGGCTCATGAAACCTTACACAGGGAGCCTTGACAGCAGCAAGGAACAGTTCAACTACAGGCTGAGCCGGTGCCGAATGACTGTGGAGTGTGCCTTTGGCCGTTTAAAGGGCCGCTGGCGATCTCTGTATGGGAAGCTGGACTTGGCTGAAAACAGCATCCCCGCGGTTATATCCGCGTGCTGTGCCCTCCATAATATTTGTGAAGGGAAGGGTGAAAACTTCACTCAGGCATGGACCTCTGAGGTTCAACACCTGGAGGCTGAATTTGCACAGCCAGAAAGCAGGGCTATTACAGGGGCCCAGCGCGGGACTGCAAGGATTAGGGATGCCTTGAGGGCGCAATTTGAGGCTGAAAACCAGCCGTGATATCTGGTGCCTGCACGGGAGTGAAGTGCAGTAGTTCCAATCTTTAGGAATCAGTGTTTGCTAAGCAGACAAGCAGACTTGCAGTGCCTGTTTATTTCCTGGGCTAAGGAGTCTTTTACTTTATGCAATAATAAAGAATGTTTTCAAAGCCAAAAAATCCATTTATTCAAAAGAAAAAAAATTTATTTATTGAAAAGAAACAAGGGGGTGGAGTGGGGAACAGTAAAATCACAGATTCGCGTATGTCCTGTCTGGTGTGCTGTGCAGTGAGTGCTGTACTTCAGGACAGCTATGCTGCATAGTGATGGGGGTTGAGTGCAGAGGGTAAGGGTCGTGGTTTTCAGGGCTGGGTGGTGAAGATACTGGTGTTGGAGGCAGCGGGTGGCGTGAAGAACACGGAAGTTGGGGAAAGTGGGTTGGAGGTGACAGTGGGGCACAACGGAAAGAGTTTTGGGAAAAGGGCTGTGGGGGGGGGGTGGCGTTTGCGTTTGCGGTACTGCTCCTCTTTCTGCATGGCTACCAGCTCCTGGATAGCATCTGCTTGGCGCTCCAGGATGCTTATGAGCCTATCAGTGCTTTGCTGCTGGTGCGCGTTGCTTTGCCGCCGGTGCGCTGCGTTTTCCTGGCGGATCCTGCTTTCTCTCTCCCTCCAGTTCTGTGCTTTCTCCTTCTCTTTAATAGATTGCCGCATCACTTCTTGCAGTATGTCTTCTTTGCTTTTTCGTGGTCTCTTCCTGAGTCTTTGCAGTCTCTGAGCAGGCGATAAGAGGGACGGCTGAGGTCTCAAGGTTGATGCAGCTGTATAGGCAAAATGCAACATTTAACAGAGGCAGCATTGTTTATACCAGACAGAGTAATGATTCACCCCGCACTTAAGGAGTAGAAAACACACAGGGTCTACACAATAGCCTAATTCTCCCGTCCGAAACAGAGCACACATATCCCACGGGAGCCTCAAAATGGTGAGTAAGGGGGACTGATTGTTTCAGGGCTGCACTGTCCTCTGGGTTTCTG